ATGTCATGAATATGTAATAACTAATAACAATCAGAAAGCAACAATAATTTGAAGAATAGAAAATATATCATTTATAATGAACTTGCCGTGAAATCCATGTTTGCCCCAAGTGTAGGAATAATAAAGATCCTTTCAAAATTTATTCATTTTTAAACACAGTATCTCTACAAATAAGAATTCATATTTATCATTTTAAATAAGAATTCATATTTATCATTTTAATCTGAGCTACACAAATATTTTGAACCATCTTAAGTAAAGTTAGCAGACTTGGTTAAACCTAATTTTGTATCTATTAAAAAAAAAAAAAAAAATGCTGTATTATGTTGGCATTACATTTCAATAAACAGCATTACACAGTTTTTAAAGCTTTATCTATAGTTTAAGATCTACAACTTGCCCTCCCATTTGGCATTTCATTTATAAGAATATTAAGTCCAAACTGCAGGATATTATCTGCAAGATATATTTAAATCTATCAGCTTCAGCAATTCATCTTTGCAGTCTATCTCAAATTAATCCCTCTTGGGATTAAATGCAGGCATTTCCCAGTGCACTTATTACTACATTTTGCTGAAATATATTATGAAAAATCTGAAATTTTATGTCCAGAAAAACTACAGATTTTCATTTAACTTCTACTAGATTAACAAAACAGCAACCGCTATTTAGCAATTTCATAATGCAAATCAGCAGTAGCTCTTTTTTTGCATGATAAGAGAATCAGCAGCAAGGGGTGCAATCATCATTACATTTAGGCAGGCAAAACAGCATTAAGAAAGCACAGATACTAGTTCTGAAGGAAATTGCTTATATTTTCATAAGTTTTGATCAGAAATTGGGAGAAAAATTGATGTATGTTAAACCCCTTTCACACATTTGTACTTTTTTTGACTTTATGCCAGTCTTTCCTACATAAAATTGTAAGGATTATGTTAATTTTAAGTTAAAGTTCCTTTCCTGTCAGATCCTTAACTTCAACTTACTACTTCCAGCCAGAACGTACTTTAGGAATCTTGCTGAATATTTAATGAGGAGGAGCGGTATTTAAACCACGAAGTTACTTACTTAGTCAGAGAGAATCGGAGTTTCCGATTTATGCGAGTCTGCCTTTTTGGCCTCTCTTTCTCTCAAAGATGTTATTACGCTCGGCCATACTCAGGCCCTTGCTAAGCTTCGTAGTAAAATAAGTTAAGGGGCCAACTCAAATTGAACCTTGATAGCTTCGGCTATACTTGTTTAGTTAATCTTAGTTTTAGTTTAATTCTTAGTCTTTTAAGTTCAAGCCCAAGCGCGGGCTTAGCTTGTACACTCCCAGGCAGAGTTTTGTTAAATCTTATTGGAATAATAAAGTGGTAGTTACTCTTCTATCTTGTTGTTTCTTGTCACCGAACTCTAGCGATTATTCACTTATCAGTTCTTAGATTCCTCACTTCCAACATTAACTTAGAATTCCAAAGTGAGGTACTCTACAAAATAATTCTTTTATAAAAAAATTTACCAAAAGTGTTTGAGAGAGAGATTCTTGTATATAAAACAAGCAACAAGAATATACTTTTTTATAACTTTTCTCTCTCCCCTCTTATAGTTAACATGAGATATATTTTAAAGGTTTATCCACATAAAAGCAGCAGAAAATTACAAGAAAAATTCATGTGCATCTCTAACTTGAAGAACATTCTCTAAACACTTAAGAATAGCTATGTGTATTCAGCACCCTTTCAAAGAAACAGTTACAACAATTTGACCTTTTTTAGTTCCTATTGCTACAAATTACAAATAACACACGGTTCACAATCATAGTTATCTTTATTTTGTAGTTTTCAGTTACTGTGAAAACTAATACTTAAAATGATAAATAATTTCTGCATTATTTACTTAATTTTCATAGTCTATTCCTATCTTTGAAATCTCTATGAATTTTAAACCCTATGTCATGGTTACAGCTTATCTCATTCAAAAATAAATAAATAAAAATCCGAGAGCTTTCAGGTTTTATATTATACACAAAGGAGCACTTTTATTTTCATTTATACACACATACCCGTTTTGTGAGCATTTCAACTAAAAATATTTGAAAACAGCATATTTTTAGAATTTCCTTCAGGCTCATGTCCTGGAGATGTTTTTTCGTACAGTCGCTGATTGCTTTGAAATCATTAGTTTGTTAATCAAAAATTCAGTAAAAGTTTACAAAATATGAAATAGATAATAAAACAAATTCAAAATCCCGAATTTGGACTTCTAGGTGCCCTTATGTGCAATGCAAGTTTTTCAATTTTTGCATTTTTTTTCCACTATACAAACACTCATACAGATTCTTCATTATTTAATTTCTTTAAAATAAATATTGGTGGCAACAATTTGAAAAGTGAAACGGACATTTATAGAGAATTTGACGCAAAATGCTGTTTTAAGATTAATAGCCCTTCTGGGCTTAACCCCCCCCTCTACTTCTAAATTTGAATATTTTGTACTTTCCCATGCCACTTTTTCTTTCTATTTTCCCAGCCAACACATGTTGCATTCATCAATATCAATATTTTGAAAAGTAGTTCTTCCGTAATTTTCTTCAATTATTTTAAAATTTTAACCCCTTCAATATGGGTTATCAATTTAGCTTTTCCACTGCCTTCAGTATCTTTTTTGATTCATCCTCATTTTTACCCACACTGTCTTTCACCAGTGCAACTATTTCTGCATGTTCTAAAATTTCACAATTTTCATCTCTCCCATATATTCTTCAACATAACCATCACTAACTTCTTCACAGCCTGGAATTTTCTTAACTATTACACAATAGTAAGTCAACTATTTCACACTTTTCTGTCTCTTCTGTTTTTGTGAAATTTGTTTCTTGAATGGTCAGCAACTTTCTCCAGGAACGAGGCTTATCTGTTCGATTTCCCTCCAAGAATGAGCTATCTATCCAACAACATCCAACATAGCTATTTTTTTCAGTTTCTCAATCATATCCCACCCTTCCTCCATGGCTAGGACAAGAGATGAAAGATGTCTGTATTTTTTCTTCATTGCCTCCAAAATGCCCTGATCCATTGGTTGACACTGAAGTTATGAAAGACGGCTCTTATATCTTCATCTCATAACTGTTCTGCATCAGGATGGGATGAGGCATTGTCTAGAATGAGAATCGCCTTCCTCGGTAGATTTTTTTGATTATAAAAACTTTCCACTGATGGAACAAAACTGCTGATGAAACCAATCATTAAATATTGCTCCATTCATCTATGCGTTTCACTGATTCCGGTAACAAATAGGAAGATCATAGTTGGTTTTGGTCCCATTAGTGTACTTTTTTATGTTTTTAAACACCCAGGGATTTTTTGATTCTCCTATAAGCACTAGTTTGTGCTCATAGGGAATTGTTGCATTCCTGCATGCCAAGATTGCGACTCCTTCTTCTTTTGTAGCCCGCTGTCAATTTTTATTCCCTGGATGCCAGAATTTTTGAAGGTAACATTCGAAAATTCAGATCAATTTCATCACAATTATAAATTTGATCTCCAGATAATACCCTCCTTTCAATTAGTTTGTGAAAATTATCCTTGGATATTGCAGCATTTTCCAAGTTAACAGATAGTCTTTTCCTCCACAAATATTTAATTGCCTCATGCCGTACTGCTTTTTCCATCTGTCGAGCCAGCCAGCACTAGCAGCAAATCCAGACTCTTCTTGAAATTCATCATAAAATTTTAAAGTTTACTCTTGCAAAATTGGTCCTGAAATGGCTGTTCCCTCTTCCTTTTGCTGACTGAACCATAATAAAGTGCCCAACTCATTTTTTTGTATTCACTATCTTTCGTATTTTTTTCCCTTTTAAACCATCCGCACATGCTCTTTTCACACAAGACTTGGTTTTGGACCTCTTGTTTTTCTATTCTATAAAAGTAATCTAAATCCATGGTAATTTTGTTTACACTTTCTCCTTTGGCCAGTCTCTTTAAAGCATTTAGTTTCATTTCCATTGTCATGTTAGTTTGTTTTCTTTTTGAACAACACTTTCACTTCACAGAATAGCAAAAGTCCCCCAAAATATATAAAACTTATATGCCGAGATGTGAACTGAGGAACGATACCTGCAATGAACTGGTGTAAGTTTAGTTTGCAATAAGATACAGTCACAAAACTTCAGACAAGTCTCCTAATGTTTCGCAACCATAGAAAGGAATGCGAGTCTGCAGTCAGCCACTACTCAACTATCTTTGTATCCTTCGAAAGAAGCAAATAGCATTGCCGAGTATTACAACATATCTTGAAACATATTAGGCAGTTCCAAGAATAACTGGCACTATTTGGAAATGGCAAAATTCACAGAAAAAGAACACTCAAATCTTTAAACAGAACAGGAAAGACATATGCATAAATAATAATTATATGTACTGTATGTAATATTTGCTGTGTTTGAACTAGAGATATCTTTAAAAAGTTGTCGAGTTATATGGAATGTTGAGATATTGGGAGTCGAGTTTGCGGGATACCACTGTATTTAGATAGCACTAAATACAATCTTTTTTATTCATCTTTGTAGAATGTTAAGACTTCTGACTTTTGCTTATACAGCATAAGATATATATAAGCAAAAGTCAGATAATCGATCAACTATGCCTTTACGAAGAATCAAATGAGACCTTTCAATATGAACACTACGTATGTTCTAGAAACTTTCTTTCCAGAAATCTGATGAATTTTCTTCTATAAGATTCTACTGTGCAATTCTAAATATATAATAAAAAGACTTCATGAGTTATAATTCTTTCCCACATGCAACTGACTAAGTAATTCAGATGATCTGTAATATTTATTACAAAAATGATCAGATGATCTATAATATTTATTACATAACAGATGCTTATTATTTGATGATATTTATTACATTAAGATGATCTGTAACCAGATGCAACCATTTACCAGATGCTTATTATATTATGATATTTATCACCTTCAGATGACCTGTAATATTTATTAAATACTCATATAGATAGATGTAACACAATTTATTTCAAATTTGTACAGTCATTCACTAAGAAGAGAAAAAGAATCAAAGAAAAATTACATCCGATATATTTTAAATATTTTTATTACTTCAACAAATAGTAAAACCTGTTCGGAATGCAATTAACTCTTGATATAAATAAAAAGAAAACTTAAGTTTACTTGAACAAACATGCAACTTTAAAAATATATATTGTACGAGAAGAATTTTATGCTATTCATCTGCCTTAATAAAAGCATTGCCAATCATTACATCAAAAAGTAACTCATTGGTTTTGTTTAAAAATTTATCTTTTCACAATATGATTATTTTATATATGGCCACTTCTATAAAGAAATGATAAAATTTACAAAAATATTTTGTACATTTAGTTCATAAAATATTACATATTTTATAGAGATAATTTTTATATAAGTATTTAAATATACACTTTCAGAAAATGAATTTAAAAAGAGGATATATTTCACAAAAAAGTACATATTACACATTCAATTTACAACTGATCAAAAAGGTATTCTGTATATAATTTGAAAAAATACAACAATTACATATTAAATCAATGTCTCTAATATATCACAGGAAGGAATAAATATTAAATTACCATTAAATTTAAAATTCTGATTCTAAGTCAAGTAAAACTAGCAAATAAATAATTTAAGACATATGACTGGAAAATGAAAATTTTATGTTGTAGTACAATTTCAGAAAGAACAAGTAGACTGAGGCATTAACTACTTGATAGCAACATACTTATCTTTTGTCTACTATTATGTAAAATGAAACTGGCAGCTGAAATTCGTCTAATATTATGTAAAATGAAACTGGCAGCTAAAATTCAAACTGCCTTAATACAATTTTAATTTTTATCTTAGATTTATTAAAACAAATTATGAATGAAGAAAATATTTATGATAAAAATGCATGCAAACACTTGAGAAAAGCAATAACATTCCTTTTCATAAAGTAAACTGAAACTGTACATAAAGTGAATATTTATACACATCTCCAAAAGATTTCTCTTTGGTTATCTACAGATTGCATCTTTTCATGATGAATAGGCATATATTATCTACGATCAACTAATAGATTTTAATTACAACCTTGCAAACAATGACTAAGTTTCTCACTGATCATACTGCAGATACTGTTCACTAAATGTTTCTAATTCACTAAATAAATAATCAGCTTTATTCCTACAAAAAAGGAAAAAAAAATGAGGTTTTAGAACAATTAAATAATGTTTAATATAAAAAGTAGATAAATTTAAGATCAGATATCTGAAATGAATACATTACAAGTACATCAAATTAATAATATAAGTTAAATTAAAATCAAAGCCATTTTCACAATAAGAATTATATATTTTCATTCTAGAAAGGTAAGTAACTTATAGCAGGCACATATGAAGAAATTTATTCACCAGATTAATACAGAGCACATATTAGCAAATGGGAGAAATACTATTTAAACATCAAATGACCACTATTAAAATGCAATTTAATGACATCAGCAACAGGAACTTGAGCCTGAAATTTCAATAAATTATTTGCAAAACTTATGGCTAGGACTCAAATCTGAATTCCATTTAATAATTATAAAAAAGGAAATATTCCTTTTTGGACTTAAGAAACTATACAAGATATTCTATGAGACTCTAAAAATTAATCAGAAAAATTAAAATACACTGGTTTCGTTGCATAAAGTTTACATTTTTGCACATATAAAAATCATACTATTATTATGTATCAATTAGATATAATATTTCACATATTTAAAAAAGTGTTTGTTAGGAAGGTGCAAATGATTCATGCACTCAGGTCTGCTGATATTGGCTAAAAATCAATATATGCCAACTTAATAATTATATCATTCAATGAAATGTCACATTTCATCATTTTAATCATTAAATGGTTTATCAGGGCTTTTGCTCATGCTTTAAAGTTGCTCATGCATAATTTTGCTTTAGAGTTGCCCATGGATGAATTTGTTCATGCATAATTTACATTTGGGGGGGGGAATTAACTAAAGATTACATTTAGTAGTCCTTAGTAGTTCTTTTATTCATATTTTTAGTTAAACATGCCATTTCATATTTGTAAATTTAACCCTTTATTAAGACATAACAACAATATATTTTGCTATCTTTATCTAGTATTTATCATATTTGATTGTAGCTTGTAACAGAGCTAGAGGATAATGTATTGGTATGAAAGTTTTAAGGTACTAGCAATGCATGTATACAATCGATTTAAATTAAGAAATGCACTACAATAGATTCTCAGGATTATTATTTGGCAACAACTGCTTAAAGAAATGAATAACTGACATCAGTCTGGATTAAAAAATAGTTTGCTAGAACTGCATTATCTTGAATATCCAGATATTCCATTAGTGAAAGGCTGCATAGTCAGCTACAAGCAGGGAAACCTATTGTTTGTCCTCCATGAACTCCAGCAAAATGCACTCATATGCAGTGGTGCACAGATCATTCTGGATTTATGGAATAATATAGACTGCAGCCATTCGTAATTTATTTTTTTTTTTGCTGATAGATTTTACTTTTATTTGGAGAGTGATTCCAGTCAGGTTACAATCCGGAGGGGGAAAAACAATTGCAACAGACAAACAAACAAACAAAAACATGCAAATTTGAATGGCAGACTGACCTACGTACTTTTACTAGTGCAATTATGAATGCTTATACAGTAGAAGTCCAGAAATCCGCAAAGCTTAGGACCAGAGGTTGTGCGGATTTCAAGACAGAAAAGATAAATCATAATATTCAGACTAAAAGTGCAAAATAAATAAGGTGTATTAGATACATTTAATTAAATTATTATATACATTATTGCAATAAATTATTACATGCATTAAATTATTATTACATACATAAATTGATTATATTATTCGTTGTATTATATGTACACAGCATAGAGGTTTGCCGATTTCGCCTTATGAAAAGCCATTTCCAGCTTTGGATTCTGCTGTTAGAATCACTGTTGTTGTAAAATTTCAACAGCTTTTCTTTATTTTTTCATATATCGTACACAATTGTGTTGCAATTCCATACGATTCTGCTCTAAACCGAGGAGTAGCACCTGCATCCATCTTTTGCAGAATTTGCCCTTTTTGCATTACCATCAATGCAATGTGTTTACATTTTCAAACGTTGCAAGTAGTAAAAAATAATGAGTGCATTTCTTATCTGTCACTGTATTTAAAAGGGCTGAATTTTAAAATATTCTTAATTCTTCTTAATATCCACAAAATATCCGGATAAAAAAAAGGCAGCACTAAATAAATCTTGCGAGATAACAAAGCTCAGAAAATACAACAAAGTGAATCGTGAACTTGAAAGAAGAGTTGAGTGAATCGTCTGCTTTTTTACCTTGATGCAGATTAGAGGGAAAGAAACTTTTATCATGATGTCAATAATTTGGTTTTTCCATTATGACTCATTATTATTCGATAATTATGACGTCATTATTCGGTAAGTATTTTTTCTTTGATATTTCATAATCAGTGTTGCGGTTTCCGGAACCTATAAACTGAATATGAATGTTTATATTTTGAGAGGCAATGCAGATTTTCGGTATTTGACTGTATATACAGAGATAAGTTTCTTAATCTTTATGTCAGTTTGCCTAGGGCTGCAAGCAGGGAAATAATTTCCCCCTGATAGATGATAATGCCTGTCTCATCGCCTTGTACTAGACTAATTTTCTTAACAGAGAAGGAATCCTCAGCAGATGGAATGACCCACATACTCTGTGGATTTAAATCAGATAGATCAATGTGTAGGATGCTGACTTCCACTACTGCAGTCCCTTGCCTAGAACTCTCCAGAAACTTCAAGGCACTATTCATCAGGTAGGAGTAATCACAAATCTCAGTTTTTTTTTCTATGTATTTCTAAAAGGTTTAACACTAATATTTTACTTTCCAACTTTAATATTTCCTATGTTCTTATTTAAACCTTTTCCCCAGACATAAGCAATTCTGAGTTTTGAAAGTATGTCAGGCATGACAAAATAAACATTCTGTGCAATTTCCATGTTCTTAACTGAAAAATCATTCAAATTATACGAGTTTTTACTCATGTAAATTGATTTACATTCGATTAATATCATTCGCATGGTTTAATTTTTATTTTACTTACATATGGATATTCCCTTTCAATAGACAATTTTTATACAAAATCAATTTGAAATTCAATATTACACATGATTTTAATTCTGAAATGCACATCTATCTTATATTTTCACAAATAAAGATATCAATTCAATAAATTGAAAAAGAAATACCAACCTTAAAGTTCGAGATGCAACACTAGATTCATCTAGCTTTTGAGTATCTTGATCCAAAACACCTATTTCATTTTGCATGTCAGATATGACTTCATCAACCAAATGACATAAGCGAGCAAATGTACTTGACAGCTCTCTGGTAAGAAAATTTTAAAACCCTTTTTTTAACAGTAGAAACATAATAAAATACAAAGCCACTTTCTAGACACTATTTAGTGGAAGGGAATTTTACTTTAAATGTTGTGTACGAAAATAAATCAGCATTAGATAAACATCTTCATTATTATTCAACTCACAGCGCTCTTTAATAAAGCATTATTAATTGTCAAGACTATTTACTAACCCTTATCCAAGAACAGCTTTTATTTACTGGATTTAATGCAGTTCCTTTTTTTAAAAAAAATTAAAATACCCTGGGAAAAGTATACTGCATAATTATTTTACAATTACAAGCTACATTGCTTAAAAAAGAAATTTAAAAGAAAAATTTCCATATTTTTGTGCCACCTTTCTGAATTTTTTCCATTATAGGAAAGCATACATCAAATAATTTTCTATAGATATATGTAACAGCTGTTGTCTATTAAACATGATTAAACTAAATTTGAAATTTAACCTCAACTGTCTATGCAGACAGCTGCCAAACCAATAAAGAATTTAGATCTGGCTGGTGTTATGTATAAGGTTAGACTCTAATGATCTCAAATGGTCTAGATTTCTCTAATGGACTGAGGTGCTTTTGTAGCTAGAGATGGGTCAACTCTTACCTAACTATTTAAAATCAACAGGAATCAGTTTCTTGAGTGCATTTTCCAGGATGATTCAGCAACACAGTACAGAGACAAAGTGGTAAGCATCACATGTACGAAAAATGCATGTGATACTTGCATATCAATTACATTACTCTTTTCATCTTTATACCTATTTATCATTACTTAGGTAACAAAATGGCTGTGGGACTGTAATATTCCTAGCTTACTATGGCCTAGTAATACTCTACATTTAAATCTAGATAAAAACCTATGGAAACCAGATGAGTAAGGAAGTGTTGAACAAGAAATCTGGATCACTAAGGCAGTACTCTTCCAAGTTTAGCATCATAAAATACCCCTTGAATGTACAGGAAAATTAATTTTGCCAATGCCCAGTTGTAGAGGCAGACATCAACAGACCATGAGGGCGCCTACTAAATATTAGCGGCAGTGACATTATTACAAATCCTGTTTTCCACTGTGATAGCTGAATTACATGTATGTACCATTTTGCCACTATTTGTGTTAAAGGGCTGTTTTTTGGGGGGAGGGGACACCACTTCATGAAATGCAATAAATATGCATTGTTTGTAGTTTCAACTGTGAAAGTTACTGTTTGCAGTTACTGTTTTCTGTGCCAAATACTGATAGCAGTATACAAAGCAATTGTTTTTTTGCACACTACTACATATTTCTTACATTTAGGAAAATTATATTATAATCAGAATCAGCTTATGTAACAGTAGTTTTCTCATTAAAAATATAGTTATCATATTTATTTAGATTGAAGTATATTATTTTGAAATGGAAAAGATTTGCTCTTTCTTTCACTTCTTTCGGGCTTCTCTCCTGCAACCTATACTGGAACTTTGATTTATTTGATTACAGCAAAGCACACGGGGGCTATCTGCCTAAGGTGAGGGGTACTTTCACGCAAGACTTTCAAAGGGAAACTGGCTCATATACATATATTATGCAAGGGGAAAAACACAAGCAGTCAGTCAGCTCACCAGGATACGAAGTCCGGACCAAATCACCAATGTTCAGTGATTTTACCACTCAGTCACTGGTGAGCCCAATATACTAGAAGACAATAACTTTTAATAATATTACAACCAATAAAATAAAAAAATTCTAAGATATAAGAATAACGCTTTATACTGAAAAGAATTATATATGAAATCCATGATGCATTATACTGTGGGGGGGGATACAATAACCCGCCCAAAAAATACAGAATTAACAAGATATTATATGATTTTATTTTCCTGTCTACTTGTTAGCCCACTCTTGCTCCTAATCTTTTATCATCTTTTAACATCAATGTGGTGAACACAAATTTTCTAGGTCTTCACATCAGCAAAGTTTAAGTGTTTGAACAAAGGAGAATTTCCATTTTGTATTCACTTGTCTCTCAGTCTTAAATCCAGTCTTCTTCCTCTGTAATGTTTTAAGCAGTATGATTTGAATACATCTTTTAGTATTATTAAATGGATGCAATTTTCAGACGTGACATTTAAGTGTTCTGAATATGGATTTGGACATGTAAATTAAGCCTGTACAGCAGTGAAATTCAAAATAAGAGAATATATATGATATAGGAAAAATTCCAATACTGGCTTTTGAAGGGGGAATCAACTAACATTTAATTTTTGAATACCACAATCAGTTAACGGTTCTCAGAGATTTTCCATTAATTTGGTTTTTTAGAAGAGTTTTTCTTTCTGGTGCACAGCATTTAATATGTTTTTATATGAAACATGAAAAAGGAAAAAATTCCAAGATCTTGATTCTTCTCGCACAGCACTTTAGTTTCTTCATGAAGTATAAAGGACTTGAAATTCATTTTTTATAATCATAATGGCTCAAAATGCATAAAACTCCGAAAATATCTTGCTTAACGTCTACAGTAGATGTTTTCATATGGTTGAGAGTCAGAAATGAATTTGAAATCTATTTAAGAATGTAATTATCAATGCAAACTGGTTTGCTTAACTCTGTAAAATAAATACATTAGCCACAACACAGCTGAATTTTTTCAGCATTGCAGTAAACAAAAGTTTTTATTATTTATATTAATTTTTATTCTAATTTCCAGGGTCGGATTTACATATAAGCTACACAAGCTATAGCTTAGGGCCCCTACTTTCTTGGAGGCTTCCCAAAAATTAAAATATATTATAAATAGTATTAAAATATATTATAAAGGGCTCCATATCTCAAATAGCTTAGGGCAGTGCTCCGCAACCTTTTCTCACCTGTGATGCACAAAAAACCTTTCTGGAATTTCGTGGCACACCAAAGAGTTCCGAGTTATCAAGGAAGTGCCGAAAAAATTCAAATGCTGACACACTTACAATCACACACACAACCACACAACAGTGAAATGTATAAAAACATTTAAAATAGACATTATTAAGGAAAAAAATTGTCATTGTGTATTAAATACATAATAAAAAATTGCAAAATGTCAAATACATGTATTTGATTGCGGCACACCTATATCCTACTCATGGCACACCGGTTGCGGAGCACTGGCTTAGGACCTTATCAAGTCGAAATCTCGCTCTGCTAATTTCGGTTATGCTAATAGCTTAACACACTGCTTGATTACATTTAATAGCTTTACAATTTGTTGCTGTCATTCATGCTTCAGTTGTTAATCAATAACTATGAATACAAATCGCCATTTTTACTGAAATCAATCATTTTGAACCATTATCAAATATTGACAAAAACAAGAGTAAGAATTTAATGTTTCCATTAAAACTACTTATATGGTGAAAAATGAACAGATAAATTAACTCAGGTGACCTTTCTCAAAAAGATTTATTCTAAACTGCCATGAAACTGAATTCTTTCTAAACTGCCATGAAATTGACATTTAAATTATTTCTAACATTTTGTATTACATAACACCCCAAGCAACCTCAAATATGTAAAACATCACAAGAAGTTATCAAATAAGCATCATATTCATTCCTGAAAAACAAGTAGCTACATTTTAACATGAAAACATTTCTGATATCAATTGAAACAAAAATAAAACTTTAGGGTAAAATAAAAAACATTCTGACTTTCTTCCCAAGAACTAAAACTAAATTTTGAAGAATTTGTATCACAAAACACTAATTCACATTTCTGAATTTTACATGAAAGGCTGACATTTAAATTTTCAACTAAAATAAGGAAAAACTCACTGTTGTACTTGATGACTGCAATTTGCACTAGTAAGGTCAACAATAAGTCTCAGTTTTCTAGTCGTATGGTTTACATACTGTTTTTTAAATGATCTTTCTTTAGCTTTATTTGTCCAAGTTAATCTTTCATAGGCATACAACAGACCATAAATGGCAAGTGAAGCTCCAATGATACGCCAACCAACAGCTCTCATAAGCTGTAATCATTAAAAAGAATCAATATACTGTGTAAGCATATTTACTGAAATGATTATGACACTACATGTTATAAATAAGAAATAAAAGAATTATTTGCAGCTAAAATCTACTGTTAAAAGAGTTCTAAAAATTAAATAATAAAGTTGCAATTCTAAAGTCAGTAATAATTTTATTAAAAAATTTAAAGTTTATTAAACTTTCCGAAACATAAATATAAAAAAAAAAAAAAAAAAAAAAAAAAAAAAAAAAAAAATGAAACTTTCCCTTCATAAAGAATATGTCCACTAGTTCCCCTTCAAAATCTCATGAACAATAAGTCCTTATTTAAACATCAACTGTTCAAAGAACAAAAGGTTTATAACTGTCAAGTTTAGTTACGTACAAAGACATATAATGCATAATATATATATATGTTTAGCTTTGCAATTTGCATTTGAAATGTGAATTGATTATCGAGTCTAAATTCCGAATCCACCAAAATAAAATGACACACAGAAATTGGAACAAGAAATTAAAGCAACTGTGACAAATATTGATAATTCTTTTATGGCCATTTTTGATATTAAAATCAAATTTTGCACTGAAAATGGAATGCTTTCTTGCACTGAATCTTTATTAAGACTTATAATTATCACACAGCTTTCGACTCAATTTTGATTATTCACCTATGTTTATAACAGCATAAAATAGAATATGATTTTTAAAAGCATACCTTTCACAGCTATGTATATTTTCCTGCAACTATAAAAACATCAAACAGGAGAAAGAAATAATTTAGCTACAGATTGCAACCATTATTTATCAGCTAGAATGAAATTTTGAAAATTCTTTATAATTAAGTACAAAGATAAAAAAATGATATTAATGAATTATAATTGCCAATATACATCTTTTCCTCTACAATTTTTTTTTGAGTCATTAAATTTTTCCTAAAATTTCAATTTCCATTTTTTTTTTTTTTTTTTTTTTTTTTTTTTGCCAACTTCTAAAATAGCATTTATTCCTGCAGCACTTATAGTTAAATTATTTTATATAACTGTAATAGCAAATTTGCCATTATATGATTTAGAAATAAAGCTACACTACATATATTACACAGTTTTTCAAATGAAATACAAAGCCAGATAGTAGAAAATAAAACATACAAAACCACCAATAGCTAAAATGCCAACAGCTGTCTGAGAAGATGGGGATGAAAGTGCTAGTTTTTGAAGAAGAGCTAGATATTCTGGAGCTGGAGTAATAACTTGTACTTCATTGCTAGGAGTTTGTGGTGTGCTGGGTACAGGCCATGGAACCTGAAAAATTTGACATGGTGGATGTAATATTAAATCATTTATGAAATAAGGATACAAAAAATATGACTTCCATTAACAGGTTTAAATAATAATTATATTTATATACTCTTATGAATTTTGTACATAGATAGATGATTTTAGTGCAGTTATATGTAATTGAGAAGGGGAATTCAGGGGCAAGACTGTTTAACACTGAGTACATGGTTTCTCAGTAATTTGGAGAAATATCATGAAGCTGGCTACATTAATTAATACATTACATTACGGTAATTAATTTTTGTTGCCAAATTTGAGGAGAACTTGCCAAACTTGGCAACATTTTGGTATGGTTTCTGTATCACTGTAATAAGTATTGTAATTGAGTAAATGTAATTGATCACTATATTGGCTGTAACAGCAATTCTGCCTTCATATTGCCTTCCAGAAATTTCGAGTAGTAGTAGAAATATCTCGGCGGATGTGCGGGAGTATAAGGCGGTAGAGATCATCTGCTCCCAGTTGTTGTTTTCAGCTGTTAGCTTAGCATGAGTTCTGACTACTATGTCTGGTTTAGCTTCATTCTTTAGCTGTGCTTTGCACTGCCTTTTGTGTTTAACGTCCATAGTAGTCTGAAGTGTAACTACTGATTGTACTCTGTGATATTGTGCAGAAATGTACGATTATTTTGGGGGAAAGTTCCATCTCTCTCTCTCTTTTTTTTTTTTTTTTTTTTTGATAAAATAAATCGGAGTGTGTGCATTCAATCTATTACGAATCTGTATGCATGTAACAATACACTTTAAAAATATTAGTTGAACTTATGAAAATATGCTGCTTGAACCATGTTCTTTCTTATTGTCTCTATTAACAAATAATTTAAAATCTGTATGTGAGTACGGAATGACTGACTATGAATATTTAGTGCAATGAAAAAAAAAAGCAATACTTTTAATTTATTAAAATCATTAAATATTTTAATTATATTATACTAGCCAGATCCAATAAAATTTCACTAACTTTCACACTATCATTACATTTTTTCTTTTCTATAATAATTTTAGGAAGCTGAACATAAGTGGCTAGTCACTCATAAAAATCACTCATTTCTCAAACAATATAAGTAAATTTCAGAATGCCAATTTTCCTTTCAGTCAGTATGTGATGAAATTTCATTTAATTATTTAAACTACATGTAAATTGATATCATCAAAAGATATATGAATAACTCCATTCACACAGGTGTAAATAAATTTTAACATACTAATTTGTACCAATAACATATAAAAATAATTTATTTCTGTATTAGTCTTTAAAATTTACCACTGCTTATATGAATAGCTTGTACTCTGATGAACATAAAGAGTAACAACATAGTATAATAAAAAATGTAGCCTAAATTTATTCTTTATTACATGAAGTGGAAAAAGACAAGATAAATTCTTCCTCATTTTGGATCTTAAGAACATTTTAGATTACCTTATGTATATGATTTTAATAACTATAATATTCAACATTTATAATAATTTTAAAATGCACAAATGCAGTGTATTTTAGAATAAGCTCACACAAATATATTACAAGTAGTAATATTTGGTAACACAAATATTTATAGATAGTTATATTAAAATTACTGAGCTGCAAATTAAATCTAAACTAAACGACATTTTTGAAAACAATTTACTAAATCAAACATTTTTGGTGTGGGGTAGAAACTATATTTTGCTCTCTAATAGTCAAAAGAACTAAAAAATTCCTATACTCACTGATTCAACTGATTTTCCAAGAACCTTTTTAGATCTGCTGGGGCCAAGAAAACATTTTATAATATTCACTAACCCCAAAGAGAATCTAAATTCTAAATCTTCCTGGAAATCAGAGCATAAGCTGTCACAATTAAGACGATAAAGTACTTCAAAACTATGCCGAGGTAAAACATTCATCATTTTTGGGCGATGTTCTGGAGGTATCAGAGAAGACATACGATCTATAGCAACAAAAGTAAATTATATAATTTTCTCATTGATAAAAAATACTGGTTTTCCAAAATAATTTAGATATAACTATATTAATATAATTAATATAATATAAAATATTAATTTAGATATAACTATACTAGATAAGTAGTCTCATGTCATTATACTATATAGTATCAATGAGTTGAAAATAGTTTTTTCAATAAATAAATCAATAAATAAGATTCAATGTACAGCTTTACAACAATCTGTTTTATCTTCAGAGTAAAAAATAAAGACAAGTATTTAAATAAATTAAACTAATATTTACTTTAAAAAATATGACCCCACTGTTTTAATGCATTTAACAAATACGCAGTATAAAATTTATCATAGAATTGCGTCAATTTTTTAATTTGCTTATTACCAAATGAACCCATTTTGGTATTTGCATTATTCTACAAAATATGCTTAAATGAAGATGATCCATGAGAAAGTGCTCCAACTGTATATCTGCTGAATATTTTCTCCAGTTTCTTGATCATCATTTATCACATTTTCTCAAACTTTTTTTCAAATGAGGATAACTTTTATAAATTTGAATATTCTGTGGACCAGCTTACTCTAGTCCCCTTCAGAAATACTATTTTAGCATATATTACTATCACTATATTTATATTTTAAAAACAAAGTTTATTAAAACTCATTAAATTTTATTCTAGTATTAAGTAATTAGTTTAATAGAAGAAAACTATATTTTTAATAATTCAAAGCAATTAGAGTTTGGAAATTTCAATCTTATGAACTAATATTTAGATGCAATATTGATTCTCCCATTAATGAGAAAGATTTGACAGCAGATTCTGGCACAACTGTTCTGTGTTTGGATGTATGGTGGTAAGCTTAAGCCTGAGATCAGCACAGACTTAAATTGCTTTTGATACTTTGTATTTATTTGAGCCAGATTTTATTCACAAAATGCTAGTCCTGGGAGAAAAAATGTTAGATGACTGGCAAGTGTTATTTCCAAATGTTGAGATTTTCAGCTACAGTATGGAATATGCAGTTGATCCGAGTTTTACTTTTTTTCTTTTCTTGCAATCTAGGAGAACCACAAAGGTAGGCTTCGAGGACTTAGTATGAGAAACACTGATCTACCACATTACACGAAATTTGTTATTACACCCCAGTTAATCAAACGGAGAGAATTTTGGCGTGTGAGAAATCCTCAGATTATGTAAGTTTCAATTTTGAAACATTTTCCTAGTTATCTACATGCCTAATGTAAGAAATCTGAAAGGGCTAAATTAAAGAATACATAGTTGAAAGGACAGTTAGATCAGTCTCACAAGGGAATTGCTCAAATTTATGATGTTAGGGCAATATGAATTGCAGCATATTTTTCATCTGGGGCAGCATTATCTCCTTAAAATTGACACAGCTGAGTTATTTAATATATAAGTTTTATGTGACTTATCTAATCACTGTTTTATATTTAAGTAAAGAGAATAAAGAGAAGGTTATCAACAAATCATTTCTATATGCGAAATAAGAGGGAAAATTCAATATTAGAATGATTAAACTAAACTCGGTGCAACAGCCCTAGTGGGCCATGGCCTGCAGTGCCCTGAACAAGTGGTCAGCTTGTTGCAGGACCCCCCCCTGGTGTTAAGTTGCCAAGTGAACTTGGTGTTCATTTTATCGATCCACTCAAGTGATGAAAGGCTGAGTCAGCCCTGCCCAGCCCGGGGATTGAACCCCGGACATGTGGTGCTGCTGCACGAAGCACTAGCCACTACACCAATGGGCCTCAATTAGGTTGATTACTGATGAGGGAAAAAAAGAGAAGCTCTATGTATTTTAAGAAAAAGGTTTGCAATATTCTGCATACAAGATTCTACACTTCATTAAAAATAGATCCATATCATATCATTTCTCAAAAACATATCAAAGCTCTAATTATTATATTATTAGTATCATTACTTAAAATAGTGCTAACAACCAAACTGAAAGGGAAAATATTGTACTTATCTCCCCAACTCCTACTATGCTGCATGATATGTATATTTTACGTACTTGATGTTTACAAGAAACCCTGGGGAAGAAATTTAGAATTAGTTACTCTCCTCTCATACTATTTTCTCCAAAAGCTGTACATATCCCTGGAAAGCATCTGGATTCCTGGATGATGCTCCACAAAGCCTTAATCTTCTGAGTGGCATGTCTTTTTGGATCTTCTCACAAAGAACTGTTTTTAAACAGCATTTATAAGCTTAATTAAAAATTACTTAATTTAGCCTCTGTTTTAATAAACTCCAATCCATTAAGATTAAATTTATATCATCAAAGAAAGTAAGACAGCAAAATACTTTAAATCACAAACTAACATATACTAAGTGACAAAAATAACCTTGTGTCTGGATAAAGGTCATGCCTTCATCTAGAGAACTAAGCACACACAGATCCTTTAATCACAATTGTGATTAAAAATGATCAGTTTTGTTACATTTTTACAGCTCACAGTGATGTCCAATTTTAGGTTATACAAGCCAATTAACCTAATAACTGAATAAATATGTATACCAAATAATAACAGCCAAATATTAGATGAAAAACATGTAGTTCATATTTATAATAATAAACAGGAAAATCATTAATTACCAATCATATCTTTCTGAGCACTTTCAACAGCCATTTGAACTTGACTAGACAATCTTCCTCTAAGATTGCTACCTAAACCTTGTTCCACATGACTATTAAGCTCCTAAATGATATAAATGATATACTTTTTTAAATTTTCCAAATAGTTAACACAGAAATAAAGCTTAAAAATAGCGCAGATTCAATTATTTCAGAAAAATACTATAACTTGCATATAATTAAAAAAAATATTTATTAATTGATAAATGCTTTCAATTTAAAATTCACCTAATCAAGGACGAATATACCTTTTTATAAACACTCAATACAAGGCTGTCCGAATGGAAAGGCCTCTCAAATTCGTCTACAAGAACATTCAGTCTTCGAATTTCTTCACTTAAAGCTCCAGCAACTTTTTGCTCCACAGTTTCAACTATATGACAAATCTGATGCTTCACTTCCTGAGTTAGAATATTTAGTTGCTGCTGAGTAAAATCTAACCGATCATACTGCTCTTTCCGAAGGGACATCTTTTGGGCCCTAAACAGACAAAGCATAGTTATGTAAAGTATAAATAGAATTCTCAAAGAAAAGTTTAAATTAATTTTAAAACCATACATTACATTTCTTAAAAAATCTATTTAGCATGGAAGTGAAAATTAATATAGAAGTTTTTTAATAATGAAGGCTAGAGATTTCGAATATTTAAATACAACACCTCACTTGCTTTCAAGGAAAATATAAAGTAACCAATGCACTAATGACATAAACTACGTAAAGTAAAAATACACACCACATAAAACACCTGATAAACTGTGTAACTGAAATATATTTATGCATTTTTACTTTCTCAGGAGTCAAATACAAAATAATAACATGTATAAATATCCAACTCTTTTTGTGTAAAAAATACTGACTCAAAACAAACAGTTCTAATTATTAAAATAATTTTACATGGTATTTAATTATACACAGTCGGGCTTAAGAAAATTTTTTTCCGGGGGTTGGGGTGTTTTCTCCCACTTCAATTCATATCACAAATTCCATTTTAAAATTTTATTGTTTATTTTCAAGGTGAAAAGAATGTTAATATAAAGTAGGAGATTTCAATAATTACTTTTTTCTGAAAAGGAGGTATAAATGTTAAAATAATTTTCACAGAAATTTCTGTGAAGAAAAACTACATTTTAATATGCAATTCTTATGGGGGTTACAACCCCCAAATGCTCCTGTATGCAATAAAAAATCACATGTGCATAAAAACTTCTGATACTCAGCTATTCTGCTAGAATTAATTCAGATTGTGATACTTTCCGCCTAGTTCTAATAACAAAATAAATGTCACGTGTCTTTTCTTCTGATTAAGAAAATTCAAAATATTTTTGGCATTAACAGAAATACCATGATGTTAGCAAGTGCACTTGATCTTGGCTCACTATATTTCTCAAGTAGAACTCAAGTACCGAAGAGAAGAGAAACTTTTCGTTTGAAGCAGTAAGAAAGGTTAAGATTTTTAGAATTTTTCTTACTCTTGGAAAATGTTCAGTGTTACATACAGGAGATTTTGGTGATTTTTTCAAACTGGCTACTTGTTTAAACCACAGTTCAAACTCTCCCAGTTCTATAAGCTCACTGCAATGGGTATCTTTCAGGTATTTTTGTACTAAATGTTGCATCTGTTCCAAGTTCACTTGAGAGTGGGCAGCATCTGGAAGAAGATACATGAAACTTTCCAGAAACATTTTGTGGTTTAGCAGCCATTCATTAATTTCATTAATAAAATAATCAAGGAATGGCAAAAAGCAATTTGAAAGTATTTTGTACTGGTGAGCTTTACGTTGCATCGCTGACTCTATCTTTTAACTCGATATGGTGATTTCAATATCCAGATCACCAGAAAACTGCTGCACTGTTATAAACATATGTCTGAATGCCTCCACATAATTACTTCTCATCCCTCTTAGAACAGCGACAACTTGTTTAGTAAATTACATTGCTGAGGTTACACATGTATTTTTTTCCATAGCAGAGTCCAATTGAAAACTTGTTAGCTCAAGTTTTTCACTTGCAACATCCAATAAATGTTCTGCCCTGCACAGAATCCTTGTGATACAATGCAGCCTCATGTTCATTGAATATTTCAACAGCATCTTTATAATTATTGACATAATGTTTCACAAGTTTTTTTTTCCAATTTCTGATTTCCAATATCAACTGCATCAAATGCAAATAAAAAACACATACTTTACAAAACATCTCCATTTTGTGAGCAACTGTAAGCCAGCCATTTAAAACAGTACAATCATCTGTGCTGTAATCTTAAATTACTTTCTCCTTGAAATGGAAATGCTTCATCTGAGCTTGGAACCCACACATTTTGTAAAAATTGAATTCTTTTCTCTGAATTCCTTTCCCCTAAATTATCAGTAACATATAATCCAATGTCATCAGATTCTACAAAAGAAATAGTGTTTCTTTCCCAAATATTCCACTCTCAAAGAATTTTATGCTGACAAGGCAAGCTGATTTTGGGAAGAGGAAAATCTCTGATTGTCTGCATTTCTTTTGGTCCTTGAAACTTCTGGAAGTCTTCCTCACTTGGAACTTTTGTTAAAAGAAAAGTCATTAATTTGTCTTTTTAATAAAAAAAAAAAATCATTTATTGTCCTTTGAAAACATGTATGAATTTGTCTCAAATGAATTCAGCACAAATAAACTGAAATGAATGAACAGGTCACATGAGAAATATTGCATACAGCATTCCATTGACAAGTAACTTAACTTCTGCTCTACTTAAAAGAAAACACACCAAATTGTTCTTGACAATACATGGAACAAAACATTTTTTGAAGGAAAAAAATTTAGTATTCAAGAATTATGTTTTTGCAATATTGATTCTTTTTCATATTTTTTCAATTCCGTGTTGTTTTAAAACTTAAGACATTTTTATGAAAGCAAATCCATGAATTGCAAAAATGTAAATATATTTTATTTAAATAAAAACAAAAATTTTATTTTATTAAAAGTGATCTATTTAAAATTTCACTTATACAGCAATTCTTATGGGGGTTACAACCCTCATATGCCCCTGTACACAATAAAAAATCACATGTGCATAAAAACTTCTGATACTCCTATTCCGCTAGAATTGATTCAGATTTTGATACTTTCCTCCTAGTTCTAATTAAATGTCAGAATTACACAGCACAGTTGACTAAAATACATGTCTGCAATCAAATTCAACTATACTAATACAAAATGCAATTTTAAATTAAAAAATGTTTTTAACACAATACCAACAAACTACTTCCAATGATTAATAAAATTACATGAATTATGAATTTACATTCTCATTTACAAATAGTTAGGTTTTACTCAAAAATTCAGTATTATTTTAAATCCTGGAAGTTTGTTTAGCTATGCATTAATTACATTGGAAAAGTTTAGAATTTTCATGTATTAAAAGCAACAAATCTTACCTGCAAAACAAAGAACACCCAGTTTTCCATGGCTTATCATTATTTACCTTCAAACATTTCTTACAATATTTCTTTTATTAAAACTATTACAAAAATTCATTAACTGGCAAATTAAAATTTACCTAAATTCTTTCATATATGTCAAAATTTTCCTTTTGAAATGTATGCACACCTTTCAATTGCAGTAATTAATATTAATGCAATAAAATTTCAGCTTTTCATCAAATGTTATAACCTAATAAATCACTACTTCATGTAAAACATTACATATGAAAGCTAAACACAATAAGAAATAACAGCACATTATTGTATTCTTTAATGAGAATAAAACCCACTGCAGCCACTTCAAAGAACTGAATACTGTAATTCATTAAAAATGCGACTTTATTCATAAAAGCAATGCATTAAACAGAACAATAGCTTACTGAATAAAAAATAAAGCTATGATGAACTTATATCTAAACTAAAAATATTATTCCAATAAATAATTCTGCATTTCTTAATATATGTATGCGCTTTTTGCCAGAACAGTACAAAATATAGAATATCATCATTTGACTGCATTTTGGGAGTTATATAACCCCCCATATTTTTCAGACGATACAAAATATAGTATAGATTTATTTGAGCTATCTGGACTTGCTATTTGAGCTGCTTGCACATTTTCCTACTTGCTTTCCACTTCACTGCCATATATAGTATTTTTCAGAAAGCTAGATATTATATTCTATTGAACAACACCATAATTTAAAAGGCAGAATTTTTTTTCCCAGTAATAACGATAAATATAGCATATTAGGATTACATGTCTATAGTTAAGATAAAAATAACCAAAATAATAATGTAATTTTTTCTTTGTTTTTACATCAGTACAGTCTCTTTTGTTTAACCTTCTAAGCATTATGACCGGCATTATTTGACCATCAGAAGTTTTGCAACTTGGCATATATTAGCTTATAATTTAAGATATTATATTTTCTTACTTTTTTTAATAACGTAAATACCATCTTAATGAATGTAAGTTTATGAAAATACAGACTAAAATAAGTAATTATACAAACTCAATTAATACATACTGCTTAAATGACAGTCTTCTTCATGGATCTAATATCCTGTGCCGCTCAGAGGGCTAATAGAAACAGCTATTTGATGTAATAAATTACTTACTATTACAAACTTCTCAAGAATAGAGCTACTATTGCTACGGTCAAATCACTGAATAGTTCCTGACAATTTTCACTATTTTGTTAAGACGGCTGATTACAAGTTTAAAGAATGCTTCCAACACTTCTCAGAATTGATTATAGCAAAGGGTACAAAAATAGAAGATACTGGAAGCAAAAAGGCATGATTGTTAAATGGAGGCAAGATACGTTCATTATGATAGGCTTGGTTGGTTTATTTAATTATGGCAAAGCCCTCGAGGGGTATCTGCTTATGGGGAGGGTTGCTTTCGTGGAAGATGTTCTAAAGAAAACTGGCTCGTTACACATGGAGAAATCCATTAAAACGCCCAAGGCATGCTGGAAAGAGGGAGAAAATACCACATATACTTCCCCTTTTAAAGAGCGACTGGGATTGGGGATCTAAACGCCAAATCCTGATGGTGACGAATTATTGTTTCCCACTTTTCGTCCGGGCATCACTGAACAGAAAGTAAGTTAATTTTGAAGAAGTTGACATAAAAAATGAGCAAGGCCCTCGCTCATTTTTCATTGAAAATTTTCTACTCAAAATGTGTTTAAATGAAAACCCTGCAAACTTTTTAAAATCAAATAGATTTACAATTTTTTTAATTGAAAACTTACAACTGAAAAAATTTATTTTCAGTTTTAAATAGCAAAAACTGAAAAATGGTAAGATTCTTCTTTTGCTAGATGACTCTTTTGCACATTTGAGTACTATCATATTGAAGAATAGAAAAACTGATTCCTACCCACAAATATAACTATTCTTCAATCTATAGATCAAGGAATTATCAAAGTTTTCAAATATTGCTGCAGAAAAGTCAATGTGAAGAGGAAGACTATCAAAATTTATAGAAGTCAAAAGTGCATGACAGGAAATTAACATAATGAATTTTCTTTGGGACTGTTTTCATGTGTTTAACAAGCCATGAATAAAAGACCTTTTTTTTGGGGGGGGGAGATCTTATTTTCTCCAAGAAAACCTGTTAGGTGTAATTCATGCCCTTTCTTCACACTAGAGGAAAGTTACAAGATTCGTTATGGAGTACACTGCCACTAATAAAAAAATTTCAATGAACAGAAGGGGGAACCAATGCAGATATTGTGGATATGATTCAAAAAAGAAAGGAAGGAAAGAAAAAGTAGTTAAAAATAGGAAAGATTTTAATGACTATGTTGATATGTGAACAGTTGCTGAACATGAAATGCACTTCAGATTCTAGAAAAGAGTTTAGAACTAAAAGAAATGCCAAGAGTTATCAAGACTTTTAGGCATTGAAAAGTTTTTCTGGAAAATCTTTTAAATGAAGATAATAAAATATTGCAACATGAAGAAACATTACATTGGGATGATCACATGAAATTTTGATGTTAACACACTTCAGGATAGTAAACATTTTTCAAGAATCTAAATGTGATTTCTCTTCAACATGATCATATGTAGTAGTGAAGATTATACAATGTAGTTAAAAGAAATTTAGTAAAATAAATAAAAGAGTTTACCTTAATTTAGTGGCTTTCTCATGCACACCATCAAGCAATTTACGTAAATTCAAAGTAATAGTCTTGCCCCTCTGGGTATGCTGTTCAAACTTGGTTTTAACTGCTGATTTTGACAAACATTCCTGAAAATTTCAAACATCCATTATATAAATTCAGTTTAAAATTGGAAAAACATTACTAAAACTTAAAATGATTAAATAATTTTACACAATTTTTTGAAAAAATTAAAATAATTTCAGAAAATGAACAAGAATATTTGATTATGAAAAATGAATACTACTCCCCTCCAAAAAAGGCTGAAAAAGAATAATAAAAGCATGTTCCAAAGCATGGGCATAGCTAGGATACTAGCTAAGGGAGTGCAAATAATATCAGACCAAGAAAATGAAACTAACATATGACTGTATAGTATATGGTTGAGACAAAGATAAAAGATTAACACGTTTCATTTGTTGTAAAAAATGACATCGCTTCTTTTACCAAGTCTCCTATTGTTAGCTTCTTCATGTTATCCATTTGAGTTTGCTTTGAAGGAATTATAGCAGAGTTCTACCTCACAATCAAAATTTTATAAATTATAAAAATCACAAAAGCATTGCACTTTTTTGCAATCGCTTCCACTGGCATCTCTAACATAGCCACAGGATGCAATAATAATAATAATAATAATAATAAAGGGGGGTTGGTAAATTACTGCTGGAAAATCTTTTTTCCCATTGGTAATATTAAAGAATCTAGAAAAGAGATAGTAAGTGATATTTTCACAAATTCAACACTTATAAATCCTGGAGGATTTGAGTGATGTTGTTACACTTTTACAATATTATATACTTGCAATTTAGTGCCAATGTTTTCAGCCAATAGTGTGCTATGTTAACATTATGACTCTTTAGGGTGTCTGCTCTTTGAAATAATCATCGATTTTGAGATTTGCCAAAATATTGTTTGACAATTTGTTAACACTCTGCAAGTGAATGAATTCAGACTACCACAAAGATGCTGAAAGCAAGCTTTTTGTGATGGAATTATAAATAATTATTAAGATCTCAAGTGCTTACCAGCCTTGACTATTCTTTGTTTGGATGTTTCAAAACAACTCTGCTCATACCCCTCACTAAAGAGTTGAAAATGAATATTTCTGCTATCATCCAGATAACAGATAAGAATAAGCGTCATAAAACTATTAACACCACAATGAAGCATGTGAACAAATGTTATGTTTCCAACAAACATTACCACAAATGCAAGATATGTTCTCACAGATATGCATATTCACTGTTTCTATGAAGGGCTTACTTTTAAACTGAATATTCATATTTAATTGTTATAGAACTATCTTGTGTAATATTTCTAATGTGTCACTAATGAAGTTTATTATCTATTAGCAATACAGCACTGCTATATATAAGAGTGATTCATAATGCAATGTTTCAGCTAAGGCCAAATAAAAGGAAAGCAATCATTTTGTTACCTGACTGCAATCCCAAAGAAAACACTTGTGCAATATTACTGTACTGTACATATATCAATAACAATAGAAACTTCATGGAAGAATTAAGGGCAACACAACAGAATATCGAATTAGTCTTACTTCAGATGCTTTCGGATTCAATAAAGACTTACATTTATCATATTAAGATTAAAAAACAATTTATTACTGCTTAGAGAAGTGGAGATATTCTTTTGATATGTTTTGATACCTAATTTAACAATTAAAAAATCACTGGATAGTTAAGTATGAAGGCAAAAACATGCAAGAGTTCTTTTTTTGGGACGGGTAATGTGTTAAATAACATGGAATTAGTTTGGGTACAAAAATGTGATAACATAATGAAATAGCTAAAATTAGAAGTGGGCAAAAAATCTGATATACAGAGAATGAAAGCAATTAAGTTTTAAAATCCATTTAAGTTTAATATGTGGTTTGCTAATATTATGTTATTAACAGTTAAAGAAACATACTTCAAATTTCCTCTCAAAGTCTTGGAACTCAAAAAAACGTGCTTGAAAGCCTTCTGCGATAGCTCCAGCTGTAATGTAGGAAAGCAGAATTAAACAGAAAAAATTTGTAATCTTTTTTACATAAAAACTACATTAACAATAAAATAAAAGTTGATCTACAAACAGTGTGCTGGTTTTCCTTTTTGTTGCATTAGTCGAGCTTGCAATGCTTCTTTAGCTGAGACAAAAAACACCCGATTCTCTGCTTGTGAGCGGCTCACAACTTTAAGTTCATCAACAAGAAAACTCACATTTCTATCCATGTGTTGTTTTCGAACCTAACGAAGAAAAATGCAAATTAAAATATCAAAGAATAATTTAAAATTATATTCAAAATAAATTCAACAGTAATTTTTTTTTCTGTGCATTTTCAATTAAATAATAAAAGCTTATCAAAGATAAACAAGATATATTTATGAGACTTTTTTTAATTAAGTATCTTTACCATATGAGCATTAATTATATCTGTAAGCATTAATTATATCTATTCATATGAGCATTAATTATATCATTAATTATATATAGCATTGTTCTAACATAGGTATTTTGTCACAAAATCAGACTTTTTCTGAAATAAGATACCAATTTTTTTCCATATTTTGATTCTACTACTCAAATTATGCCTAGATATTAAATTTTGTAAAATTTGGTGCAAAATTTACGAAGAAATTCAAAAATTTATCTTGGTTTAATTTTTCAGTTTGCGCTACGAATGCACTTGGTGAACTTCTTAATATATGGCAACCAATTTTCCTTTCCCTTCCATTATGCCAGAACGAAAATGGCACCTCGTTCCTACTTTTTTACATTGTGCATGAGCGGGGAAAAAAGTCATATCGTTTCTACTTTCAATTAATTTTACCGAAGTATCTAAACCATATTTGATGTTTTATCACTTTCAACAAATATGACAAATTTCAAAATGCGGCAATATATATAAATTCACGTATATCTTCCGAAATTTTGAATAAAAAAAGTGTAATTTTTTGCAGGTATACTAGAAATACGTCTATTTTAAGATAATGGTAAAAACTTTATAAAAGTTATTTAAAAATATACCATAAAAAATGGGTGAAACTTATTTGGAATGAATCTGAATTTTGAAATGTGAAAGGAAGAATCAAATGAGTTTAATAAAAAAAGAGAGATTAACAAATATATCCCAAACTCAATTAACATTGAGCTAAAATTTTGAGAGCTAATTTTTTAAAAACTTCTTGTGCGATTTTAACACAAAACTTGGTATTTGGTGTAATTTGAGTCGCAGAATTGAAATGTGGAAAAAAAATTGCTATGTTATTTAAGAAAAAGTCTGATTTTGTGTCAAAATACCTATATTAGAACAATGCTATAAAAAAATCTAATACATATCCTAAGTCGCGCTTTTGAGACATGAAAAACGCAAGCTGAATTTCGTTAATCGGCACAGTAGAACAGGAGATATAGAACAGTTCCTTTTTTTTTTCGAGCAATGTACCTTATTGTTTTTGGGAGTTCTTTCCATGTATAGGGAATCGTCCGCTCCTTCCCAGAAAAAAAGGGGGGAGTTATGTATCCACGCGATACATCAGGAAAACTACAAAAACTCCCATGCAGCGAGCCTATTAACCAGAATTCAAACCTAGGTCAAACTACACGTGTTTAGTGATATCGCCACTTGGTCTCTGGTAGGCCTTCTTTCTTTTAAAAAAAGTTGCTGAAACCACCAACTTACACCTAATAAGCAACTTTTACCTTTTCATCTGAAAAAAATCACATGCATTCTTGTCCCTAATAGCACTAAGGGGAAGGGGCATCAGTATGTGTATACCTATTAGTTAGGGTGGTTTATAGCATTGGCAACACGCTTTTGAGATTTGTCATTCGTAGGATTCGGTCACTAAAAGCGTAGCTGCCATGTAACAGTTATAATTATTATTTTATGCTTATCTGTACTCCTGAATTATTACTAAATGTTTACGTGTGAATGTTTCATTATTAAATGTATTCAGTTTGGTTGAAATAGACCGAGAGTGACTGAATTTATTAAGGAGACAAAAAAAGTACAAATAAAACAAAACTAATAAAAAGGACGTTTCAATTGCGGAGGGGGATGGCAAGGAATAATACTTGAGTATTCAATCACAGTGCTATGTTTTTAACCAAAAGAATGCAAATATGATTTTTAGTTATTTCATAGTAATACACCAGAACTATAATCTGTCATAATACTGCTAAATGAGAAAGAGTTCTAAAATAAAATTTAACAGAAAAATGTATTTTTAGGAGAGAAAAATTTACTCACTTTATCTAAGAACTCCATCTCATAAGCAGAGGCATCCCATCTATTATTCAGAATGAAGATATTAGGCTTTGAAAGTCTTTCACTTACTTTATGAAAAAAGTTCTTTTCCTGAAAAGGTAACATAAAATATTTACTACAACATTAAAGGAAGAATACTTCACTAATAATATTTTGATAAATTTAAATACTTTGTGAATGTACACAATAAACATAAAAAATCAACAAATTTCTTCTTTGGCAATAGCTAAGTCAACAACGCTTAAAAAATATTAAAAAGTGATTAATAAAATCATTCTTCTAGGAGTAAGCATATCAGCATGATTTCTATTATTTTTTATAAATATAAAATAATTAAAAAGATTATAATAATTAATTTGAGCACAAGCTTCAAAACCAGAATTAAGTAAACATACAAAATAAGCATGTGAATCCTTTAAAAGACTACTTTGACTAATGGTTTTAGCTTGAAAATCTAAAACTCTTAATAAAATTAAAATTAAAAAAAATATATATATGAAAGGTTTCAGATTTTAAATTACGTCTAAATGGGTGTTTTTTTTAACATTTTGTGTGTTACCTTTATTTATTAAAAATCATGTTCTGTGCACTTAGATCATAAAATTCAGTTCAATAGCAATGTCACAAAATAATTTTAAAATGAGCATATCTTTAGAATTTCTGATACACAGTTCCAGGCTCTGGAGATAAAAAGGTATTTTTTCCCCTTTGTACAGTGTTGCCATTGCTTGCTTTTAAATCATTGAGTTTGTTACTCAAAAATTCGTTAAAGTTTTACAAAATATGAAATCGATAATAAAACAAATTTCAAATTTGGTCTTCCACATGCCCATATTCGTAGGAGGTTTACGCCATTCAAAATTTGATGGCTCTATGAACCGTTGTTTTATCACAATGCAAAAAATATATATACATTTATGCAGATTTTTCATCATTTAATTTCTTCAAATATAATGCAGGACTCTAACATTTGGTGGCAACAGTTTGAAAGGCGATTCGCTGTTTATGGCAATTCAAAGCAAAATTGCAAAACGAAAACAATAGTCCTTCAGTGACAAAGCCCCTTTGGACGGGGAAAAAAAAAAAAAAAAAAAAAAAAAAAACTTAACCCAAAGGGGCAATTTACCTGGAAGGGCTATTAATTTCGTTTTGCGTTGATTCACTATAAACGGCGAATCACTTTTTAAATTGCAGCCACCAAATATTAGAGCCCTGTATTATATTTGAAGAAATTAAATAATGAAGTATCTGCATAAATGTATGTATGTATGTATGTATGTTTCTTGCATTTTGATAAAACAATGGTACTTAGAGCCACACAATTTTGAATAACGTACGTCTCCGCCCAAATTTGGAATTCGTTTTATTATCCATTTCATATTTTGTAAAGCATTTATGAGTTTTTGATTAACAAATTCAATGATTTCAAAGGGAGTGATGGCAACACTGTAAGGAAAAAAAAGTGATTTTTATCTCCCGTGCGCAAGACTGTGTATCAGAAATTGTAAAGATATGCTCTTTTAAATATTTTGTGATATTGCTGTTGTATTAAATTTTATGGTTTAAGTGTGAAGAACATAATATTTAATAAATATATATTTAGGATATATTTAGGATAAATGGTGAGTGCACTATTTATGGATTCCATGATCAGAACTTTAATTCACTTCAGCATTTTAGGCAAGTTTTTTAGTTTTCAAAACAATATATACCTATTGCATATCAAGAAATGGATACAAAGAAAAGAAAGAGGTTATCTAAGCTTTCAGGCTTAACTAAGTTATTCTATACTATTTAAGTTTTATTATGAAAAATATTGTAATACTTAAAAAAATAAAATGATCTTGTTCAATGAAAAGGAGACAAGAAAAAATTCTAACAACTGAAGTTGCATTATTATACAAATATCCAAAATCTAAATAGTCAGACTTTAATAATTCTAAATGGATATAAATGTAGTACTGCAAAACAAACAACTACACACATACATTATATGAATTTATAAATTTATATTACTAATATGACATATAAACAAAAGCCTCAAAATACCATTTCATTAATATCTCAGTAGTAAGAAAACTTTTAGCTAAAAATGAGATAAATTATTATTATACTTACTGTCACCATTAAAGTTGATTCTGCATTTGCTACTAAAACGAAAACATCTGCATCTACACAATGCTTATCAATCCATTCGTCCAGATTTGGAGATATATCAATGCCAGGGCTATACATTATTCAAAATCACGTTATTCATATACATCTGATACCAAATCCAAGTATATTTTTATTACAATAGAGTTTATTATAACTATAACAATATAAGAGAAAATTCATAATTCTTGTAAAGCAATAAAACTTAAGTACATGTCTTTACATTTCTATTTAAACCGACTGTAATAAATTTTAGTGAATACATTTTACAACATTAAAATAATGCACTATCTGGCCCAAAGTATCTGGACACCTCCCTAAAGAAGTGGATCTGGCAAGTGAAGTAATTTGATGAGCAACCGAAAGCTATAAAAGTGTTAGTAGTAGTTTCTCAGGTGATATTTATGCATTTGTGAGACAATAAGTCAAAGAAAGGAGCTTTGATCATGGCAGTATAATGGGATCCCTTTGTGGGAAATCAGTTTGTGAAATTCTGAACATTCTATAGAAGCCAAAAATCTATTCTAAGTGATATAATTGTGATGTGGAAATCTCGAGGCAGTGAAACTGTAGAAAAACGAAGTGGCAGGTTGAAAAAAATTAGTGAACACAGCTGTAGAATTTTAAAAAGGTTAGTGAAACAAAATTGTAAGTCCTTGCTAGTTGAAATCACTTGGGAGTTCCAAATTTCATCAGGTGTTAGTGCTAGCAGCAGGACTGTTTGTCGAGAGCTAAAAAACCTGGCCAAACATCACTTCCCAGAATGTAAAGCATCAATTGCAATGGTTCAAAGCTCACTGTCATTGGACTATGGACATGTGGAAAAATGTTCTTTGGGGCAATGAACCTCACATTACAATCTGGAAGTCTGATGGACGTGTCTGGGTCAGGTGGATGTCCAGCGAATGTTTCTTAAGTGACTGCATTGTGCCAACAGTAAAGTTTGATGGTGGCAACATCACGGTGTGAAGGTGTTTTTCATGATTTGGCCTGGGACCCTTAGTTCCTGTGGTTGGAAACATGAGCTCTGAGATCTATATGGACATTCTGGAAATGCTATGCTCCCTACTGTATAGCAACATTTTGGGGAAAGCCCATTTCATTTTCAGCAGAAAAACTGCTCTATTCATACACTGAGACTTTGGCAGTCCTGGTTTGACAAAATGTTGTTCAAAAACTTAACTGGCTTTTTAACAACACTGATCTAAATATCATAGAATATCTTTGAAAAAAATTGGAATGAAGATTACATAGCCAGTCAAATCAACCATCCTCACTGCCAGCACTCACACAAGCCATGATGAATGCCTGGAAGCCAATATTTATGGCCACCAACCAAAAACTGGTGGAAAGTCTCCCCAGACGTGTGAAGGCTGTTGTCGATGCAAAAAAGGGACAAACATCATATTAATACATGCCTCAGGACTCTCTGAGTCTGTACCATTGGTTATCCGGATACTTTTAGCCAGATAAAGTATTTCTATTGATTAAAATAAGCTTGAATAATTAAAAATTCATCAGGATTTGTGAACATAATAGACACTGTGAACATAATAGATAATAGAACATAATAGACTGTGGTACTTGCATACTATCGTGAAACTGTAGTCAACTATGGATAAGCATTACATATAATACCAGCACTTTCATTTGATGCAGTTCAATTGATTCTCGATAAACCACTTTTTATTTTTTTGTACAAGGATGTAAATTAATTGTTATTGCTGCATTGTTTCTTTGCATTTTGGGGGAAAAAACTAAATATGGAACTTGCTTTCTATAAAACAACAAGCAGTGGATTATTTTCAAACTTATCGGATCCTACTATTTTTTTAAAAAAGTGCATTAATGGACTCTATATGGTCAACTGAATATGATAATTTGAGTAATTATCTTCATTTTATGAAGAAGGATATAAATTAACTGTTATTGCTATACATTTGTCCCTGGCAATTTTGAAAAAACAAATGACTGAAATTTGGGTTTGCCTTCTACAAAACAGCAGGTAGTGGATTATTTTCAAAGTTATGGGATCCTACTATCAAAAAATCGATGGTAGCTTCTCTTAGTTTAGATCCATGGGTGTTTAATGCATAGGATTACCAACAGAAGTGTGAAGATGTTATAGAACAAACAAAAAATTTTATACACACATATATTTTATTCTATTTTTATTTACTATATTCATTCATTCAAAATGGCTCTATGTAAAATTGGTCAATGATATAAGAAATAAGATTCATAATTTAAGATGTCTGCAGTTATATTCCTAGTAAATGTTATATCTAAAAATGAATTGCCAGGTGTACTTGAATAGTTACTTGGCACCATATTAAGATTGGTGAACTAACTTGGGATCCCTGCCAACTTTCATGGCTGACAGAATAATATGCAAGTACCTAAACTGTTAACTTAATAAAGTAATATATGTATAAAGAATTTAATAATAGCATAATATTTTAGATCAAGCAAAAGAGTACCATTATTATTGCACTTATTTTTAATACTTACCTATCAACTAATACAACATCGTCTCGTAAAAGAGGACAACGATCTTTAGGCCAGAAGATTCGAACTAAGGAGCTGTCGCCAAATTTTTCAGAATTAAGTGCATGAGCTAACTGTGTAACTGACTAAAAAAGAATATATAGATATACATATTCCTAATGTACTCAAACTATATATACATACTGCAATAAAAATTCCTGTTTTATATTAAAGAGAAGTAAATATCAAATAAACTATGTTTTGCAATTGACTGAAACCATAAAAAGACATTTTTAACCATTGTGATCAAAAAGTATCTGTAATATCCTGTAAAACAAACAAAAGATATTTATGCCAACTTTTTTTTTGGGGGGGGGAGGGCAATCGTTAAAAAAAAAGTCATTGTAATGTAGCAATTTAATCGACAGAAATAAGAGAAAATCATACAGCAACATATTAGATAAATGTAAAGCTTGCAGAGGCCTATTTGTGAATTTCTGGGCAAAGCTTCACAAATAGTAGGAGTACTATGAGTGCATTATCATGGAGCAAAATCTGAGAGCTGGTTTTTCACAATTCAGGCCATTTTCCACCAAAGTCTACCAACTTATTTTTCACAGAGATCTTAGTTAAATTAAAAACTTTTATAAAAATGTGGTAATAAAAGTAAAAAATTTTAAATCAACAGATGAATAAAATGCATATCTTCATATGACAAGATGTGTCATTTAGACGCATTAATCATTATGACGGTTTTAAAACTAAAGTTACATAGCATTAATAAATATAAACAAGAAGAGAAAAAGAAAGCACAGTTTACAGTTTTAGCATGATATTTCTTATTGCTCTACAAACTGCAATTCAAAAATTTGTATATACACTAAGGATAAGAAAAGTATAACAGGAAAAAAAAAAAAAAAAGTGACAGATACAGTATGGAACTAATAGAAAAAATCTTTATTACTAGAATGGTATTGGTGCAAAAAATTGCCTGGCAAGAGGAAGAACAACAAACCAAAAAGCTTTAGTAAGGGTTATGACCTCTTCTAATTGCAACAGTTGCACTGTCTGTCGATATACAAAACCAGATTATCTAACAGTTCTTGGGGTAAGAGTTCCTATTCTTCAAGTTCTGTTTCAGTTGTCTGGTACTTTCTGGAAGGTAAACTCACACTGCAAGATGTCTCCCTAAAGTATCACATACATGTTCAATGGGATTTAAAATAGGATAGCATGCTGGCCAATTTATTCTATGAATGTCTTCACTTTCCAGAAGCTACTCAATAGCATGAGTCTTGTGTGGCCATGCAATGTCATCTGTCTGCTGATGGGATGAATAGGCCACCTTAAATAATTAGTTTGGCTCACAGTAAACAGGGACAGCTATCATCCAGTTGCTATGTGAAACTGCTAAGCAATGTTGCCTGCTGTCTGGTTTCAATCACATTTTTATCTGCAGGAAGATATATTGCCAACACTGTTGTTTCCTTGGCTATCCACCTCTAACCTTTCTTACAGGTGTACCTCTACCGGCCATCTGGAACACTTTTCAAGCTCATGAGGCAATACTTTTGTTAATTCTAATCTTTTAGGTACCAGACATCAAATTACACTCCTTCTCAAGCTTGCCAATCATTTTATCATGCATAAAGGCACCCTGATGTTTTCTTGTAGCCATACTGCATATACATCTAACTTTCACTTGCAGAAGAATGCCTTCATTTCTTCTTTTTAAGCAGCCTTGCACTGCGAGCACTGACTCCTCATACTTTGTGAGCCCTGAAATACCCTCCGAGAACCTGATACTGATAGTTGCACATGCATTACTTTCTACAGAGTTGGGTTTTCATAGTACTGATTGCAAAAAGTGCTTTTCAATATTTTTATGGTTATTGAAAAATGCATTTGTTGCTTATGTTTTGCACGCTAGTTAATTAGGGGGAAAAATAAAAAATGAGATAGTCATTTCTCAGTTTGTTTCAATCAGAAAAGTACTATCAGCCAATACACAAGCTAAAAGCGTTTTTTCCCCCAAACAGAGAATATATTTGTTGTATCATAAATTATAATACGACGTTTAGCTTAAGAGAGCTTCTCCTGACGCATGCGCCGTTCGCGTTTATCCGCAAGGTGATGAATGATGACTTAACTGTTTATTACGTATGTATGTATATGTATACCATTCTTACTTTTTCGCCCTTTTCTCTGCTGTACGCAACTATGTTTAAGTTAATCTCTGTCATTAAAAATGTTCATTGATATTACAATCTATTTAGGCTCATTTTCTTCAATGGTATGGGCCCAGGAACGTTCAACTGTGCTTAATTAGCAAAATACTTATTTAAAATGAACATTTTGAAGTTTTCGAGATTGAACCTTAAGCCTAATTCAGTGCAAGAAAACGTACATCTAATCAAACGTAAGAACTGATCAGCGTTCTGTTAAGGCCTATTTTTATAGTGATCAATCTT